TTCAGAAAAGTATAAGAAATAAAAATGTCCCCATAATCAGTTCCCGCTAGTGTGAACATTTTGGTGGGAAAAGAAAGCCTTCTTCGTTACAAGCACGCAAGCTCAGATGTGAGAATGCGCTGTGGGGCTTGAGGTCTTTTCGCCGTAACGCTGGCTGGAGAGGTTGCTCGCCGGGCTTGTCCCAGTTGACAGGGTGATTTCTGAGGTCCTGTGTCTGAGCAGTCTCCCTCCTCCCACGGCCCTTTCCCCAGCATGCCACTGCTTCCTGCGAGGCCACACGAGGCCAGGCACAGGACGAGGGCCAAGCAGGGCAGGGGTCTTATTACTGCTTTCATACAACAGAAGTAATACCTCACGAGGCCATGTGTGACCAAGTCTTTGTAGTAAAGGCACATCTAGGTTATGTTTTTAATTTTACTTAATAAAGATTATGTAATGATTCAGGAATAACCTCTGTTGTCATATAATTAAATCTTACTCTCCAAGATGTTTTTGTGAGAACCTCTAATGAAAATAATTTTTTTATCCAATTTTCTGAAATGTCACATTGGTTTACTAAATTAAACAGATGCAAAAGAATGGTTCTATAAAATTGATGTGTTCTTGGCATATTCACAGAGCAGTGTGGAATGTAAAATAATTTCTAGACTTATTTGTAAAATGGATGAGAGTAAATACAGAATATTAGATTTTTGTCAAGCTAAGTAATAGCAATTAAAAGGAAAAAATGCAGTTTACCAATATTTTTTTTTATGAAAGACAAACAAAGTTTATTATAAATGAAAGGAATATATAATTATAGGACAGCAGAGATAAAATGCAATACATCAGGAACAAATTCAAAATATGTAGAAATGGAAGAAAAAATTCGAAATGTGTAGAAATTGAAGAAAAAAATTCAAAATATGAAGAAATTGAAGAAAAAGTTCGTAATATGTAGACATTGAAAAAATTAAAAATATGTAGAAGTTGAAGAACAATTCAAAATATTCAGGAATTGAAGAAAAAATTCAAAATATGTAGAAACTAAAGAAAAAACTTGGAATAAATATAACGTTCTTGAATCATCATATGAAGACTTGACGCCCTCCGACTGGCAGGCAGCTGAGCAGCATGGCTCGGGCTCTCCCCATTCCTGGGCGGCAGCAGCACCTGCATCAGAGGGATCGCCAAGGAGGGCGGTCACAGAAGCACAGAGGACAGGGAGAAGCTTGTCCAGGGAGATGGCAGCTGCTGAAGGCAGTGATCCAGGATGGTGTCCTGGCCCGGGATGGGCTGCTATGCTAGAGGCGGGTTTTGCTGCTGGCCTCTGGATGTCCAGGGTGGTGTCCGGGGCACAAACTGGTCTTCTGGAGGCCAGCTTTGCAGCTGGCTGCGGGCTGCCCATGGTGGTGTCCTGGGCCCTGGATGGGCTGCTGGAGGCGGGTATTACTAATGGCAGAGCACCGCCCATGGTGGTGACCCGAGCCCGGGATGGGGTGCTGGAGGCGGGTTTTAATGCTAGCAGTATGTGCTTATTGTGGTGTCCAGGGCCCGGGGTGGAATGTTGGAGGCGGTTTTACTACTGTTGACCTGCTGCCCATGGTGGTGTCCCGGGCCCGGGATGGGCTGTGGGAGGTGGGTTTTAATGCTGGCAGCTTGCTGCCCTTGGTGGTGTCTGGGCCCAGGAAGGGCTGTTGGAGGCAGCGTTCAATGCTGGCGGGCATTCAATGCTGGCGACGGGCTGCCCTTGGTGGTGTCCGGGCCCGGGAAGGGCTGTTGGAGGCGGCGTTCAATGCTGGCTGCTTTCTGTCCTTGGTGGTGTCTGGCCCAGTAAGGTCTGTTGGAGGCGGTGTTCAATGCTGGCGGCAGGCCGCCCTTGGTGGTGCCCTGGCCCGGGAAGGACTGTTGGAGGCGACATTCAATGCTGGCGGCGGATGCACTTGGTGGTGCCCGGGCCCAGGAAGGGACCAATACTTTTTAAAAATTAATTTGAGACAGTTCAGAATTCTTAATCATAATCCTCAATTTATTCATTTATTTATTTATTTATTTATTTATTTATTTATTTTAAATAAATTATTATTGTTCATATTATTACAAATGTTCCTTTCTCCCCTCCCCTCCATTGCTCTCCTCCACCAGGTTCCCATCCCACCCTCTGCCCTTTCCCCACCCCCCATTGTCCTCATCCATAGGTGCACAGTTTATGTTCAGTCTCTTCCCAAATCCCCCTCTCCCCCTTTCCCCAAGAATCGTCAGTTCACTCCCCTTCCATACCTCTGATTCTATTATATTCACTAGTTAATATTGTTCATCAGATTTTTTTTTAATTTCCTTGGTTTTTAGATTCACTTGTTGATAGTTACGTATTTGTTGTTCATAATTTTTATCTTTATTTACTTTCTCTTCTGAAAGAACCCCTTCAGCAATTCATATAATTCTGGTTTGGTGGTGATGAACTCCTTTAGCTTTTTTTTTTTTATTTTTTTATTAGTGAAGCTCTTTATCTGACCTTCGATTCTGAGTGATAGCTTTGCGGGTAGATTATCTTTGGCTGTAGGTTCTTACTATTCATCATCTTGAACATTTCTTGCCATTCCCGTCTGGCCTGCATGGTTTCTGTTGAGAAATCAGCTGACAATCTATAGGTGCTCCTTTATAGGTAACTCCCTGCTTTGCTCTTGCTGCTTTTAATATTCTCTCTTTGTCTTTTGCTCTTGGAATTTTAATTATGATGTGTCTTGGTGTGGTCCTCTTTGGATTCCTTTTGTTTGGAGTTCTATGCGCTTCCTGGACTTGTAAGTCTAATTCTTTCCCCAGGTGGGGGAAGTTTTCTGTCACTATTTCTTTCAGTATGTTTTCGATATCTTGTTCTCTCTCATCTTCTGGGACCCCCATAATTCTGATGTTGGTTCGCTTGAAGTTGTCCCAGAGGTTTCTTACATTATCTTCAATTTTCTGGATTCTCTTGTTTTCTTGCTTCTGTGGAGGAGTGTCTTCTGGCTCTTTATGTTCCAAATCTTTGACTTGATTCTTGCGATTTTCCATTCTGTTTTTAGGACTCTGTATAATATTTTTTATTTCAGACAATGTATTCTTTATTTCTTGTTGATCCCTTATCATTTCTCGTTGATTCCTTATTAATTCTAGTTGATCTCTTTTCATATCCTCATAGGTCTTATCGACCTTTTCTAGGAAATTTTTGAAAAACCTTATAAGCGTAGATTTGAACTCTATATCCAGTCGCTTTTTGTCCTCAATTTCTTTCATTTGTGATCTATTTCGTTGTCGCATTTCGCAGCTACAGATGGGATGGGGTTTCAGGGTGGAGCCTGCAGCCTTGGCTTTCGTCAGCCCCGCCCTATGAAGCTCCTGAGTCTCAGAGTCCTTCAGTGCTCGCTGCCAGCGCCTCTGAGAGAAAGGCGCCCTCGATTTTCGCCTGCTGCCAAACAGTCTATGCTCTCCCCAAATGAGCCCGGTATTGGGGTTCAGTTCAGTTGGAAGGGGAGTTGGAGGTGGCGTTCAGAGCAGACTGGAGCCCCTGTCTCCTTCCCACCAGGGCAATCCCGCGGCACAGCCAACCGCCTGGGTCCCCGGGGTCTGGCCTAGAACTGGGGTTCAGAGCAGTCGGAACTGGGGCCCAGCACAGTCGGAGTTTTATCTCCTTCCCGCTAGGGAACACCAGCCAGGCACTCCGCCTCCCTCCTCTCTGGCTCCGTCCTCTCCGCGCGCCGCGTGTCTCCGTACCTCAGGCTTTTCCAGCTCCTCCGCGCTTCCTTCTGGTTTCCTCCTTGCTTCTTGTTGTAGAATTTCCAGTCGACTTTCCTGTAGTTCTGGGTAATGTTCATTTTATATTTTAGTTGTATTTTATTGAAATTGTGTGTGGCTGCAGCTAGGTGTTTACCTGTGCAGCCATCCCTCAATTTATTCTTTTAAAAAATATATATGTTTTATTGATTTTTTACAGAGAGGAAGAGAGAGGGATAGAGAGCTAGAAATATCAATGAGAGAGAACATCGATCAGCTGCCCCCTGCACACCCTCTACTGGGGATGTGCCTGCAACCAGGTACATGCCCTTGACCGGAATCGAACCTGGGACCTTTCAGTCCACAGGCTGAAGTTCTGTCCACTGAGCCAAACCAGTTTTGGCGATAATCCTCAATTTATAACAAATTATCTAGAAAAGGTTGAAGTGGTCAGTGATATTTTAAAATTAATACCAACACCTTTATTTTTCTTAAACGTTTGCCTTTCAGACTCTGAAGTTTTAATTTTTAAAGATTATTTTTGGCAGTAACTGCCCTTAGAGAAAGAAGCCCACAGAGCAGTGGGAAAAGGTTGTCTGGGCTCAGACAGACCGGGCGTCAGAGCCAGCTTTTCCGATTATTGGCTGATTATCGGCTGCCAGCTTTTGTGACTTTGTTTCCTTACCTGCTACTCTCGGCCGGGAGGCTTAGGGGCCCACAGGCAGCGCTCGGGTCCTGGTGCATGGTGGCAGGCAGCGAAGGGAGCTGCCTGTTGTCAGCGGGGCCTGTCACAGCACCAGCCTTGAGCTGGAGCCTGCTTCCCCCTCAGAAGCATGGCTCTGTCTCTGAGGCTGGTCTTGTTTCTCTTTCTGTGCTAAATAGAATTCATGTTTCCCCTGTGTTTGCAAACCACTGTGTTTGTGTCTTTATTTTACCCATTTCATAATTAGCTCTTGTTACCCGTTGTGTCTGAGGAGCGTCTTGAATATGATGTTGACACTGCTCTTGTTTAAATGCTTTGCAAGTGACTCAGATGGTGGGATGCGGACTAGTGTTTTCTTATTCATTTGGTGACAAGGCAGACAAAGTGATGTCTGTAAAACTGTGATGGAGGACTGCAGCTTCTTACCACCAAGAACAAATAGCAAAAAGCTTGTCGGGTTAATTCACTTAAGGAGAAATGTAGATAAAGCGGAGCTGTTATTTGTCACCATGTAAACAGACATGCCAAGACCAAATGTGTGACATGAGCCCTGTTTCGGATTCCCCAGGTGTCACCTGAAGACAGGAGCGCCCTGTGGGCCCTGCTGACCTTCTACGGGGGGGCCTGCCAGCTGAGCCTCAACAAGAGGTGCACCCACCTGGTCGTGCCAGAGCCGAAGGGGGTAAGCGCTTCCTGTACATGTGCCTTTCCGTGTCCCCTCAGTCTCCTCATCAGCGCTGACTCGGTTACCTCACCCTGTTTATGCCCAGCTTTATTCCGCAAAGGAGGCGAGGGGATTGAAGTTTCATTTGGAGCCAGATGTGACTTCTGCTTACAAAGAAATTTGGGTTATTTCATGGAGCAAATAGGAAAGTGTTTTGAATCTCTGGAGTTTCCTTTCAAGTCCAATAAAATGTAGGTTCATTGCCATTTGTGAAAATATGTACAGGGTGTCCCCCAAAACAGCTGGTAGCTCTCAATTGATGTCTCTTTCTTTTCAGAATAACCCATTGGAATTATAATTGGCAGCCTGAGTGTGTGTACATTTTTTTGGGGACACCCTGTATTTTAGTCCTTGTCACAGTTTTTAAAATATAACAAGTGTAATTGTCTCAATGTAATTACCAGCACACATTTAATGATTTTTCATATATGATCTAGAAGATGTGAAGCCGTGTTTATCTTGGAAAGCACAGGGTTCTCATCCCTAAACACTGGTGGGGCCCCAGGTCACCCCACGTCCGCAGCAGTGGCCTCCTTGGGGACTTGTGGGAATGCAGACTGTGCCCGGCCTGGTCCTTTAAAGAGAGCCTGGCGAGGACGCCTGCGACCTGCTGGGCCCCCTCCCAGGGAGCCGGCACACTAACCCAGTACTGCTTTGCTGTGGGACTCACACCTGTCCCCCGGGCACAGCGGCTTGGGACCGAGACTCCAGTGCAGGGTTCCTAGCACCCTTCCTCAGTCCTAGGCCTCCGTGTTTCATCTGCGTGCCTCCGCAGGACGGGGGGAGGGCAGGCGGCAGAGCCCGGAGCGCAGGGGTCCCTGTCACCTCTGCACTGAGCGGCCGTTCGTGGCCTGCCAGTCTCCTGGTGAGAAAAGAAACTGGACACCAGCAAGTTTGGTTGTGACTTAATCAGCCACACAATCCAAGAAGAAACTTTTTCTGTGAAAATTCAACATATGAATCTTAAAATCTCATTAAAAACTTGTATTTTATGTAAAAATTTATGTAAAAATGTAACCAAAGCATGCTTTGGTTAAATAGTGGGGGATTCTTTTTGTATTAGTATGATTTTTAGCTTAGAATAAATCACTTTACTTTTTAAAATATATTTTATTGATTTTTTTTACAGAGAGGAAGGGAGAGAGAGAGTTAGAAACATCGATGAGAGAGAGACATCGATCAGCTGCCTCTTGCACCCCACCCACCGGGGATGTGCCTACAACCAATGTACATGCCCTTGACTGGAATCGAACCTGGGACCTTTCAGTCCGCAGACCGATGCTCTATCCACTGAGCCAAACCGGTTTTGGCCAAACCACTTTATTTTTCTCTTTAGAAGCAGGCAGGTGAGATGCTGGTTAACTGTGTCTTTAAAGACTGGTCACATTGCTCTTGTTTAAATGTCCACTCCCTTCCTCTGTCCTCTGGTCATTGTGCAACTGGCCAATCGGAGAGCCCTCTGCTGCCCCTGCCCCCACGGGCTCCTCAGCCGGTGTTTGCCTCTGACTGCAGTCCGATGCCCTGCGAGGAGGCTCTCCCTGGGCCCTGCCCTCCTAGACCCCGTATAATCCTACCCGTGCCGCTCAGCACCGGGGGCGCTGCCTTCTCATCGGGCAGAGCCCTGCGTCCTCTGGGACTCACTGGAGAACAGTGAGCAGGGTGTTCCGGATCCCCTGGTGTCCGGCAGACAGCCCTGCAGTCGTGGGCTTGTGCCAGTGACACTAGATTAGGCAGACATTCATTTCCTTCATGAGAGTGTCCGTAGGATTCCTAGCTCTGCCTTGTATCTAAAACACCCTTTATAATAAACACAGTCTCTGGATGAGACTGTTCTGTCGCCGAGTCAGGGTTTGCTGGGGCTCAGCCCCTGCGGGAGAGGAGCGGGGCTCTCGGTGCTGAGCGGGAATGCAGGGCGGGCTGTGATGCTGCTGACCGCTGTCTGTGCTGCTCTCTGTCCTAGGAGAAGTATGAGTGTGCCCTGCGGAGAGCAAATATCAAAATTGTGACCCCCGACTGGGTCCTGGATTGCATATCTGAGAAAACCAAAAAGGATGAAGCATTTTATCACCCGCGCCTAATCGTTTATGAAGAGGAGGAGGAGGAGGAAGAAGAGGAGGAGGAGGTGGACCATGAGGAGCACGGCTCCCCGAACGAGGGCAGTACGGATGACAAATCGAGCCCTGTCAGTTCTCAGGAAGGGTCCCCTTCAGGGGACCAGCAGTTCTCTCCTAAGTCAAACCCTGAGAAAGCTAAGGGGGAGCTGATGTTTGACGATTCCTCAGACTCGTCCCCTGAGAAGCAAGAGAGAAACCTGAACTGGACCCCCGCGGAGGTCCCCCAGGTGTCGGCGGCGAAGCGCAGGCTGCCTACGGGCAAGGAGCCCGGCCTGATCAACCTGTGTGCCAACGTGCCGCCCGTCCCCGGGGGCATCCTGCCTCCCGACAGCCGCGGGGGCCTGATGACCTCGGGACCGAATCTCCAGAGTGCGGAGAGGTCGGACATGCTGGCCGCCTGGAGCCCCGCCGTGCGGACGCTGAGAAGCATCCCTGGCAGCGCCGACGGTCAGCAGGTGAGCAGGCCGTCCAGCGTGGCCCACGTGAGTCTTCAAGTTCATTCACTCACTCTTTACACCCACAGTTACTTCCACTGTTACTTTGTATGGGCTTCCGGTGCACAGCACAGGGTCAGGCTGTGTTTTACCTAGTACCCCGGCACCCCAGTTACCACACATTGCTGACTGCACTCCTGTGACTGTCCCCACGCCTGTCCGCAACCACCATTCTGTCCCTCTCGTCCGTCACCTCCCACCCCCGACCCTTCCTCTGCAGCCTTTAGTCTGTTCTCAGTGTCTGAGGTTATCATTTGTTTTTTAAAAACTTACCTTTATTGTTGAAGGTATTAGAGTCCCCTTCCACCCCCATTGACCCCTCCATGTTTGTTTTGTTCTTCAGATTCCACACAAGTGAAATTATACGGTATTTGTCTTTCACTGTCTGACTTATATAAATCACTCCTTTAAAACAAGAATGTAAATCTGGGATTTTCTAATTGGATCTCAGTCTGTTGCAGTGTCATTTATTAGTTTTGCTTTTTTCAGAACAATTGACACACTTGCAGCGTGTACTTGTGTGAGAACTTGAGTCTGTTTTGTGTGTGTGTGTGTGTGTGTGTGTGTGTGTGTGTATTTCAGTGTCAGGCACGCGGGGAGGCGAAGGCACCACCCAGCTGACAGGACCAGGCTCAGGTGCCCGTGCTCTGGCAGAAAGGTCTCCTCCTGTTTGGCTTGAGCTGGACCTCAAAAGGGGGCACTCTGCCAGCTGCTCTTCACTTGCTTGTGATGAGCTTCATCTGGATAAGCATCCTCCCATCCACTCTTCGAAGGGCCTTCATCTCTTTACAGTTTTGTGATCGGAGCTTCTTGGTGCAGACTGGACCGTAAGAGTTTGAGGAGGTGTTTTCCAGTTTCACACGGTGGTAGCAGGGAGGTAGAGCAGGCCTGCTTGCATTTCTGTGAGCACAGAGACAAATGGTGAACAAGACAGACAATTCTCTGCTCTTGTTTTAGGTGAAGACAGAAGACATCAGCCAGCTCTGAGCAGTAGGGCTTCGGACGGGTGTGGGTGTGAGACAGGAAGGGGCCACACTGACAGCCTGGGAGGAAGGCTGTTACCGGTGTGGTGGTCAGGGGCCTCAGGAGGAGGTGCCGTAAGCAGGGCTTCAGCACCGGGAGCCCGAGGAGAGAGCATTCCCATAAGGACCCGCGCCTGTGAGGATGGAAGGACCATGGTTCCCTGGGATGTAAGACAAGGAAGTCAGGGAAACTGGAACTCGGTGACATGAGCGAGTGAGTGGGTTCTGCGTGGGTCTGCCTGGCCCACGTGAGGAGTGTGCTGTGTCTGAGGAGGCCTGGGGCTTGGTTTAGTGGCCAGATACACGCTTCCTGTTAGAAATCACAGGACCACAACTATGATAGTGGGGGTGGGTTGTAAGTCTGTCTTGGTTAGACATGCATTGAAAAATGTCCTTTCCCTCCCTCCCTCCCTCCCTCCCTCCCTCCCTCCCTCCCTCCTTTCCTCCATGGGGTTGAGCAGTGAGCAATGGATAGTGCGTGATTCTCAGGGCGCTGGGAGGCGAGCAGGTATGTTCAGAGCTCGTGTGTTCCACTAGCAGTTTTGGAGGTATGGTGACTTTGCTGGCAGGTCAAACTCTGCCTGACACCTTTAGTTTAGTCCAAACAGTTTTTAAGAAATGCTATTTATTTGTCCAAATCATGAACTTCTCCCTGAAGAGGGGCGTCTGGGCCTGTCTAGACAGCAATGGGATGAGCTGCGTGGCGGTACACTGGCTGTTGGCATCCTCCTGGCTGAGCAGCTGCTGCCCTTTCGGATCCAGGGCTCCTATGGTGCAGTTCCCATGCTCTGTCTGTTCCTGCCCGCTGTCCCATCCCACCATCTCATCCCACTTGGACACCTGCCTGAGACCTGGGCTCTGGAGGGTGACTGAGTGAGCGGCTAAGGGGACAGGAGCAGGGCCCACTGTCCCGATGGACTGAGCTGGGAGTGAAGGGCATGGGACATTGGGAAAGCCCCGGAGCAGCTGGGCACAGGGGTTTGGGGAGAGCAGAGTGGTGGCCAGAGGCAGCCTGGGGGTGGGGGGTGAGGTGAACCTGAGTGATGGGGGGAAGGCTGGGGGCTGGGCTGGGCTGGGCTGGAGAGGCTCCCTTCGTCCCAGTGGACTTGTCCCGAGGCCAGCAGTGCAGGATGTGCCCGAGGGTGTCCTCAGGGCTGGTGTGGGCGCTGGGAGAGCGTGTGGTCCCCTGGTGCTAAGTGCACCTTTCTACCCTTCAGGGAGGGATTCGGAGGGCACGTAGGCTGTGAAGTTGAGCAGAAATGTGATTTCACAGACGGTGGATCCCAAGTTCCCCACATTTATATTTGGACGTAGAGAAAAGGTGTCATTTAATGATGAGTTTGGGCACGTCCCTGCGGTAGGATGTTAAGGGTCGGCCTGCCGGCTGGGTGCCTTCCCTAAGGGCACCCGTTCAGGCTGCGAGAGGGTTTGATCACCTGACGCCAGTGGCAGAAATGTTGAGTCTCTCAGCAATGTAGAAATATTAGGTCATTTTGCTGCTGGATGTGAAGAAAGTGAATTTCTGACATGCTAGAGATACAAGACATATTTAATATAAAATCGGATCAGGAGTTGAGGAAACATGGCTAACCATCAAAATCCTGTTTAAATTGCACATTTTTAATGGTGCGGAGCCATGTGGCATGTATCATAATGCCTTCTGCATTAAGTGACTTAATAAAGACTGGCAGTTACGTAACGTGCGGAAAGTTCTTGACGTTATTAAGATTGTTGGCAGCGTGGCAGGTTATATCAAGCAGTGAAGTCTTCTTCCCTTGGTTCCTCGGGACTGGCGTGTCCGCCCGAGTCGGGTGGGGGATGGAACCTGTGAGTACAGGGTGTTCTCAGCAGCGTCTGTCACCCCTGGCCCACCCGTGCCCGCTCCAACGCCTCCGCACCCCCTCCGAGCTCGCTCTCACCTCCAGCCTCCTCGGCCCCTCAGATGGCGGCCCTCTTCACGGGACCAACCTGCCCGTCCTGCTCTGGGAAGTCCGAGCTGAGCGGGGACCAGCCTCTGGCACTGGCATCCAGCTGGCCCTCTTAACAAGCTCCATTCGCAAAGGCCCACTTAGGTTTGGGGTTGGGGTGCCAGTGGCAGGTAACCCGCTGTTTCAGTCCTTTCCGTTGTGCCAGTGTTCATTTCCTTGTTAACCATCAGTTACCTAACATGGGTGTCATTTCTGAGGGCGAAACACATGTGCCAAATAAAAACCTCCAAGGTACCAAAGGCTGCAGAACGACAAACCCCCAGGATGTGGCCACTGCCCTGACCAGTGGTGGGGGCACTCCTGCTGATCCTCAGGGACACAAGCAGGGGTCCCTCCATGCTGCACGCCTTCCCGTGCGCTGCTGCTCTGGCCGGGGGCTGAGCTCAGGCTCGTGCCCGTCTCGGCTGAGTGTCAGTGATGCTCGGAGGAGACGGCGGTCCTGCTTCTACATCCTGTTCATGGTTCTCTGTTGAGAGCTCAGCAGAAATTATTTTTTTATTGAATATTTTTAAATTGATTTCAGGGAGAAAGGACAAGGGAGAGATGGAAACATCCATGATGGAAGCGAGTCATTGATCCGCTGCTTTCTGCATGCCCCTTACTCGGGATGGAGCCCACATCCCGGGCATGTGCCCTGACCGGGAATTGAACCTTTACCTCCTGGTTTATAGGCGGACATTCAACCACTGAGCACTACTGGCTGGGCACGCAGGGACGTGTTTGAAGCACCAAGTGAGGTGATTTCCAAACACAGGTCCCCAGCTCTGAAGTTGGACTTATTTCTGGTTTAAATGTAATCGTTTCATCACTAAATCCAGAGCTGCCACCCTTGCAAGTTACAGAACTTGATGTTTGGAGTCTGTTAAGTGGGAGATACGTGCTGAAACCAGTTGTCATTTTCGCAGCGCTCTGTTTACTGGTTCCCATTGACCACGAGAAGCTGAGCACATTGGGACAGCCCATGCGTGATGTGTTTCTTTCATTCTGTTCGGCACTGGAAGGACACCAGTCACCTGCCCACCACTGGCTGGGGGCCGCACCTACCCGAGTCCCCTCCCCCCGCCCGGTGTATCCTGTGCCCTCAGCTGGCTCCTGTCAGTACTAGGCAGCGTGAACCTGAGCGGTGGCCCAGCCTGGGGGTGGCCCGGCTTGTGGATTCCCTCTGGTCAGGAGCATTCGGCCATCCCAGAGCTCCAGGGCGTTGGGGAAGGCTGGCCATTAAACAAGCTGCCCTGTTCTCTGTCCCGCAGAGCAGTGGCCGCAGGTGAGAGGCTGGCATCCCGATGGGGGCTGCCCCTGGGGAGGCTCATGCGGTGCGCTCACGGGGGAGGTGTCCTCACGTCTGACTCTTCACGGGACCCTTCTTGGTCGGTAGCTGTGGGAAGAAGGTGTGATGTGGGAAGGAGTGTGAGGGAGCTGAGTCTGGCTGGGGTGCCTGAGCCTTGCTTGGCGGGAAGGTCTGGGGCAGCCTGCCTGCGGCAGGCCGGGAGGGAAGCAGGCGGAGCGCCACTTCCCCTCTGTCTGGTGTTTGCTGCCGTCAGGCTGTTTCTGCAAACACATCAGCCAGGTGGGGCTTAGGTTGTCAGCTTCAGTTCTGTGGCTTATTCCTTTACTTGCTCGGTTTTAGCTCTTGGTGACTTACTTCACTTACCGTATTTTTTTTCTTGTATAAGACACCTTTTTCCTGAAATTGTTAGACTGAAAATTAAGGGGCGTCTTATACATGGAAGTCAGCTGAGGAGGGAGCCATGAGGGTGCACAGCAGCCCATACCTTGTCAAACAGGTTTCCTCCAATCACAAGCCTTATTGTTACTGATGTCAGCTGATGCTGTAATTGGAGGTGGAGTGTGTTTTGGGCCCATACAGATGTCAAAAGATAAAAAGGTAAATACTGGGAAGCGATTGTCTTACTCTGCAAAATTCAAACTGAATATAATCAGCTATGCAAAAGAGCATGGAAATAGAGCTGCAGAGAGACAATTTGGACCTCCTCCCACTGAGGGTATGATCAGACAGTGGAGAAAACAGGAAGAATAACTAACTTCATAAGATGCCAAAAAGGAAGACCTTAATAGGAAAACCAGCAAAATGTTTAAAATATTGATTTAATTTTGGGTTGGAAAGGGGGGGGGCATCTTATATATGGGTGTGTCTTATACAAGGAAAAATACGGTATTTGCTTTATTGAAGTTGATGATGTGTTTTTTTTTTTTTTTTTTTTTTTTTTTTTTTTTTTTTTTTAAATAAATACAAAGGAAAAGGCTGTGCTCCTGAGACTTCCACTGGTTTGCAGCTTGTTGCCAGTTAGGTGACTATTAAAGGGCCATGCAAATAAATACATTGCCATTCTTAGTTGATGTTAGTATGTTTCAGGAACGGTGGGTGACTTTGCCTTATTCTTGTTTTCTAGATCTTACAGTCCCTTTCAGCTCCTACAAAACACATGGAGCAGCAGGGGAATCACAGCCAACAGGGCCACGCGAACAACGCAGTGCTCTTCAGCCAAGTGAAAGTGCCTCCGGAGCCACAGCTGCCCCAGCAGCCGCCGCAGCACCCCGTCCTGCACCTGCCACCCCAGCAAATCATGCAGCTCCAGCAGCCGCCGCAGATCCCACAGCAGCCCCAGCCGGGCCCTCCCCACCAGTTCCCACAGCCGCAACCTCACCGTCCGCAGCAGCTCCAGCCCCTGCAGCAGCAGCATGCTCTGCATCACCAGCTGCACCAGCTGCAGCAGCAACAGCTGGCACAGTTACAGCAGCAGCAGCTGCAGCGCCTGCACCACCAGCAGCAGATGCAGACGCACGCAGCACAGCACCTGAGTCAGACGCCGCAGGTGCTACAGCACCAGGCTTCACAGCACCAGGCTCCACCCCTGCAGCCCCAGCAGCCGCACCTGCCCCAGCAGCCGCACCTGCCCCAGCAGCCTCATCTACCCCAGCAGCCTCATCTGCCCCAACAGCCTCATCTGCCCCAACAGCCTCACCTGCCCCCGCAGCCTCACCTGCCCCAGCAGCCTCACCTGCCCCAGCAGCCTCACCTGCCCCAGCAGCCTCACCTGTCTCAGCAGCCGCTCTTCGGACACGACCCAGCAGTGGAGAGTTAGTAATGTCGATGTGTTTCTTTCTTTCTCCTGACCGTCTTGCACTTGCATAATTGCTTGGAGAGTGCTTGAGGGTGGGTAAGGATTCACATCAAAATAATTCTCTCAAAATGGGGCCGTGCGATGGCCCTGACAAAAGATAGAGCTGGTAGTGGAGCGGCACACTGTCTCTGTAGTCGAGACGTCAGAACGCACGTGAACGTTGTGTCCTTAGAGGGCCGGGCTGCCACTGGGACTGCCTCAGAGTGTCCAGTGCCCGGGCAAGCCGTCCAGGTCATCGAGACGCACTTCACAGTTTCAAGTTGAACTCGGCAAGACGGGCTTCTTACGTTTCTGTGCAGACGTGTTCCTGGGCTTTAATTGTGTTTTTCCCGTACAATTCTATTCTAGTTCCAGAAGAAGGCTTCTTGCTGGGGTGTGTGTTTGCCATTGCGGATTACCCAGAGCAGATGTCCGATAAACAGCTGCTGGCCACCTGGAAAAGGGTGAGGCTGTGCCTGGGAGAAGCGAGCTTTGCACCAGAAGGTGCTCCCTCCCCAGCGTCCTTCCTCTGGCCGCCCTCACTGAGAGCTCCTGCTGTGCTCCCAGTGTGTTTTGGGCTTTATCATTCGCATTCTCGGCCTCGGGCAGGTTACTTTCTGGGCTTCAGCTTGCTTAGCTGTAAGGGGATTGCTGGCCTTCTCACTCCTAGGGTCTTTTCAACTTTGGGACCTTAAGGGGCAGACTTGCCTCTGTAACGGGGTGTGGGACGAAGGTCAGTTTTGGTGACATGGGATAGGGCCTGTCAGCCTCTCCGCCTTGCTCACTTCCATCAGCAGGGGCGCTAGAAAACCCTGGCTCTGGGCGCGGCGGGCGCTGCGTGTTGTGCGTGTTGCACGTGTTGGAGCGCATTGGTCATTGTCAGTGTGACGTGGTGCTGTGCGTGGGAAACGGTTTCCTCTCCTGTGGCTTGCTAAGCTGGGCTGCAGCCCAGTGACTGTGGTGGACAGTGGCCTTTAAAGAAGAGGCCACAGACCAGTTGTGCTGAAAGTTTTTGAAAGATGAGTTAAGTGGCTCCAGAAATATGTTGCATTTGCTCCCCGTGTCCCAGGCATGTGGCAGGACCTAGGGGATGCTGATGAACAAACAGCGAGGAAACGAACGCAGTTGCAGAGAGCCACATTTACAGCCCGGGAGGAGGTGCGGGAGGGGCACGGCGGGGCGGGCAGCAGCACAGGTCGGCTTACAGCTGCAGAGAGGGAGGGACGGCCGTAGGAAAGTGCACTCCTCAGGGTGGGCTTCCAGGAGGAAAAGGGGGGATGAGCGGGGAGGGGCTGCCAAGGCCAGGGCACATCTTACCCCCGTGCTACGACACAAGTTTTAAGGTTCCAAGATTGTCCGAGAGCTCCCTGTGAAATAAGAGCAGCTTGGAAAAGGAGGTGAGGGCAAGAACACGGTCAAAAAATGTAGCTCACAACTGGAGAGTGTGTCTCCAGATGAAGGAGAGGAGAAAGCTGTGGAGCAGTGGGAGGTGAAGCAGGGAGTGCTTTGGACAGACGGAGTCGGGGGATCAGAGGCCGCTGCCAGGAGGCGGGCGGTTTCCAGTCCGGAGCAGTGCAGGCCGACCAGTCGAAGGGACAGTGGGATAAGGTGTACTCAGACCTCCCGTCAAACAGCATACCTCTCCCGTGCTTGATTTAGGAAGACGGGCAGCCGGGAATGGGGCCTGACTGGGTGGGAAGGGGTCCCAGGTAGACTAGCCAGATGGGGACACAGGACAGGACGGCGATCCAGGAGCACAGCACCAGTGAGGACGGTGCGAGGAGATGACGCTGCTCCTGGCTGTCACCTGGACGGCAGGCGGAGCCAGGTGTCCTCGCTTCATCAGGATCGCACGGTCAGCTCCACGCTGGCTGCGGGAACCAGGTCCAAGTTGGAAAGAGCGTGTGGGGACATATTTAAAACCATCCCCTTACCTTTGTTTGAGGAGTTGGCATGAAGGAGGAACTAAGAGAGGCAAGTGGGAGGGCGAGGCGTCAGCAGCTGCTGCAGGGGGAAACCCGGCACCACAGAGGGACTCCGCTCGGGGGTGGGCGGTGAGGAGATGGGGCAGAAGGTGGTCGATCGGTAGGTGAGTCTGACACAGGAAGACAGCACAAGCCCTGCAGAGCGCATTGGTCATTGTCAGTGTGACGTGGGGGCTGTGCAGGGGAAACAGGCTTTCTGTCACGGGCCTTATTGAACTGCATGAATTGATATAAAAAATAACTAAATTTCAGAAATAGGAAGTGAAACAGTGTTCTGTGGGGCAGCCCTCTTAGCATACAGCAGCTCTTTGAGTTTTAACAAAAGCTGAGGACCACGTAACCACCACAGCCAGGGTACAGAGCAGTTTCCTCGTCCCAAAAGCTGTATCTATTTTTAAACATAAATTTTGGTGCCCGGCTGGTATGGCTCAGTCATTGAGCTTCGTCCCATGGACCAAGAGGTCCTGAGTTTGATTCCCAGTCAGGGACATGCCCGGGTTGCAGGCTTGATCCCTGGGAGCGGGCGTGCAGGAGGCAGCTGATGGATGTGCCCCTCTCAGCAATGTTTTTCTCTCTCTCCCTCTCCCTTTCTCTCTACCAAAAAAGCAATTTAAAAAGATTAAATAAATAACGAAATAGGTTTTGGTATTAACTTCTCTCTGATTCCGTCCCTACTCTTTAGACACTTGGCAGCATCTGCAAACATTTTTTGTTTTGTTAATCCTCACCTGAGGATTTTTTAAATTGATTTTTAGAGAGGGTAAAAGGGGGGAAGAAACACCAACCCGAGAGAAACACATCGATTGGTTGCCTCCCACACATGCCCCAACTAGGAATTAAACCTGCAACCCAGATACATGCCCTTGACCGGGAGTTGAACTTGTGATCCTTTTGTCCGAGGGCCGGTGTTCCAACCATTGAACGTTGTTGACCAGAGCTCTGTAGACATTTTTAGCTATCACAATTGGGGAATACTGTTGGTACTCCATGGGTAGAGGTAGGGGTGCCACTAACCCCTACCGTGCACAGGGCAGCCCCACAACAGAATGAGCTTGTTGCTCCCGACAGAATGTCTGTTGGGAGCATCAGAGCAAGAGTCATTCCCTCTTCTTCGTCCCTGTGGGAAGTCAGATGGACTGAGCGTGGGCTCGGTGGAAAGGTCCATGAATGTAATTGACACGGACCTTTATACTCTGTGGTGGTCCTTTGAAGAGCTGTGTGGTGTGAATCACAACTCCCTGTTCTGCATGTGACGCTGACTGTGCCTGGTCTTGTGCAGATCATCCAGGCGCACGGCGGCACCGTGGACCCCACACTCTCCAGCCGCTGCACGCACCTGCTCTGCGAGAGCCAGGTCAGCGGGATGTTCGCGCAGGTGAGCCCGCAACCCCCCGACCTCGCGGCCCGGGGAGGGCTTCTCCACCTCTAAGCATAACGCTCACGCCTTTGTGGGAGGTAGTGCGTGCCCAGGAGAGAGGAGGCTCAGCGTGGTAAGAGTGGGCGGGCCAGTGAACTGCACAGACACCATGAGCATGTGGTGGGGGCACCACGATGCCCTCCTCCTGAGGGACTGTCCCCAGGGTCTCCCATAGCTTCCCTCTTTCCTGAAAGAGGCCCTTGTTTGTACCAGACCCACAGTACTGCGTCCGTGACAGTGACCTCCAGCAGGCCGTTCTGAAGAGTAGAGCCATGTCCTGATCACCCCCCTCTCCCCCCCATCCCGCCATGGGGACTTTGCTTGGGGTCTTGTTAGACAGCAGTCCCATTTTTCTTAGGTTATACATGGGGCCCTCTGTGTTCTTGTGGGGAATTAATTTCCATGATCATAAATGTTCCTCATTCTATGAAGTTAGCCCCCAGGTGTGGTGAGATTTGTAGCTCTCGCCCCCACGGCAGGTGCTCAGGTTTGTTGTCATCCTTTCGAGTGGCATTAAAATTAGTTCTTTTAGTGAACTGAGAGGTAAACATCATGGGATTCTGTTCTTTCCAGGGGGCTGTAGCTTTGCCACCTCGGTTAGTGTAGCCAGCAGTGACAGCCGCTGCCCCCTGTCCCTGTCACAGGCCCTCAGGGAGCGGAAGCGGTGCGTCACGGCACATTGGCTCAACTCCGTGCTCAAGAGGAAGAAGATGCTGCCCCCCCGCCGTGCCCTGCACTTCCCCGTGGCCTTCCCCCCTGGGGGCAGGCCCTGCTCCCAGCACGTAAGGCAGCGTCTGTCTGTGAGCCTTGGGTCAGGCTCGGGCCCCGTCAGCGTCTCCCTCTCGTAGGGGATGTCTGCCTGATTCTGCAGAATCTCTACACTGATTGCAATTCCTAAATAAACCCCATGTCTTGCACAAGAAGTGACCACTGTTGGGCAGGACTTTATCAAAAGTTGTACGTTCTCCACCCAAATCATCAGAACGGGTCAGTAGGGGTGTAAAGAACTGACAGTCACCTGCCCTGGTATCTCCCATAATTCCAAAGAAAGAGTGCAGACACATATGTCCACATAAAACAACTGAAATGTAGAATGGTGTTTTACCGTGTTTGCTTTTTCCCTCAGATTATTTCTGTGACTGGGTTTGTTGACGGTGACAGAGATGACCTGAAGTTAATGGCCTACCTGGCAGGGGCCAAATACACAGGCTACCTGTGCCGCAGCAACACGGTTCTCATCTGTAAAGAGTAAGCGTGCCGGGAGCCCCATGACCTTGGGCGCACGGGGCGGGGCTGTCTGCGCAGCTCTGCTCCTCGGTGGTTCCGGTTTTGGGGAACGTGAGTGTGGAGGTCAGAGTGTGGTGAGAGAGTGACAGGGACACGCAGGATCGAGTGAGCAGGTGCAGGGGAGCCCTTGAGCAGAGTGGGCGGCCAGTGAGCTGCACAGCACACGGAGATGTGGGACAGGGGGTGATGTCCATGGCCCAGGGCACGCTAAGGGACGTGACACCTGATGGCCAACAGTGCTCCCTCAACTTTGCTGAGATGTCCCTGCCCTTCCTGACAAATGAGGCGTTCTCACCAGCTTTCATTGAAAACAGTCATTTGAACAGTAGACAGCTGTAACACTTAATCAGTGTGTTCTCTCCACCAAAAAAGGCCAGCTGGTTTAAAGTATGAAAAAGCCAAAGAGTGGAGGATCCCCTGCGTGAATGCTCAGTGGCTCGGGGACATTCTGCTGGGGAACTTCGAGGCCCTGCGGCAGGTCCAGTGCAGCCGCTACACGGCGGCGTTCAATCTGCCCGACCCCTTCGCCCCCAGCCCGCACCTCGTGGTCAATCTGCTGGGTGAGTGGCCTGTGTGCACCCTCCTCCGTCCAGTCAGCTCTGTTCCTGTCTCCTCCGCGCTCCCACCTCCCCGAGGCCCTTCGAGACGGGAAGACAGCAGGAGCCTGGCTGGCTTGTCTCAGGCGGTAGCGTGTCCTGAGAGACTCCAGCCCTGACACGTGCCCTCTATCACGTGTTGAGCCCACATCTGCCGTGTCGCCGCTCGGGCTGACTTGGTTGTATCAGGTCAGGGTGCACGCTTGCTGCTCTTCAGCCCCTGGTGGGGACCCCTCCTCAGTGGTCACGCCCCAGTGGTACCACATCACCGAACTGAACTCACTCAGGCACTCTGCTCTGGGCGCTGGCTCGCCAAGAGGCATGGCGTGCCGCCTTCAGCACCTCCACAGGCACAGTTCTCCAGCCCTCGTCTGCCTCCGTGACTGCCGCCGTGAGGACTGCGGCCCTTCCTGCTGGTGCAGGAGCGCAGCACCGGGCGGGACCCCGGGCACTGGCGTCTATTAGAGTGGGGTGTGTGCGCGCTCTGACAGCCGTGCCGAGGCCTCATGGACTCGCACCGCGGGCTGGACAGCAAGCACTGTCCTGGAGCCAGCCCTCGTCCCCGCAGGAAAGCCTTGCTGACTCCCAGTCCTTCCACTCGTCTCCGTGTCCGCTGCACCCCTGGGGGTCTGGGATCGCCAACCCAGAACCCCTTCCAGAGGCTCCGCTGTTTGCACAGCATCCGGTGGTAACAGAACGTGTTTCTTCTTTAGATGCCTGGAGAGTCCCGCTGAAGGTTTCGCCCGAGCTGTTGACGGTAGGTCACGTGGGGCCTCCCTGGCTGCCACGCAGCATGAGGTGCAGGAAGGTTTGCCTTTGCAGGTTACACTCTCGGCAGCTTGTCTGACAACCAGGGAAGGCTGTCTTCTCGCCTGTCAGGAGCGTGTAGTGTCCTGGCTCTGCTTTCTCACTGCCGGTGGCACCATCGGGCACCCTGTGCTGCAGCGAGCACCTCAGTGGCACCAGGGATGGGAGGAGAGGCGTGTGTGGGCGGGGCTGCAGCGGGACCCTCGGGGCCAGCCTCATGGCTGCAGGGTGGCTCGGTGCTCTCGTTCCAGGCGGTCCTCCGGGGTTGGGGTCTCTGATGCGCTGCTGTAGGGTGGGCAGCCCTGTCCGTGTGGGCCTGTCCTCGCCGGGCAGTTCATGCGGGGTAGGCATTGGTGTCCGCAGACCGTTTCCCACAGGCCATTGTAATCCCGCCACTCGCTTCTCTGCGGGGGCGGGGGGCAGGGAGCGCTGCTCATGCCTGAGGTGGGGCAGTCTCCTGTTCTCTGTAGAAGTGTGATGGAAAGGTTGAGGCTTACAGACATGTTAGCATGTCCATCCCTCGTGTCTTCCTGACGGATGTCGTGTCCTTTCTGATTCCTACCGTGACTGTCGGTGCAGAGGTGAGCGTTTGGGCCATGTCACCCACTAACAGAAGACAGTGCTCTTGGCAGGACACGTGGTGCCGCCGGGCCTGCTTGCGGGTGTCGGTGCTACGACGTGATCTGAGGGAGCCTGGGTTGCTGGCTGCTCCCTCCTGCTGTGACCACCTGCTAGTCACGTGACGTTCGTAACACCGACTAGCTCTGATGTTCAGCAAAAGCAGATGCTCCGCGTTCAGGCGGGTGAAAGAAAGGTTATAGAGGCGTTTACGATGAGCACGGTCCCTGCAGCCCACCCAGACCTCAGTGTGGGCTCGGAGATGGCGTCGGCCCAGGTCCTTAGTGGCTTCATCGGGGTTAAGGCTGAGCACCGCGGAGATCACTGTGCTGTGGGTCCCTGGTCTGTTTCTGTCCATGCCACTAGCAAGTGGAGTTTGGAGATTAAATTTGACCTTGGGGAGTAGAGAGTTGAGGGTCAGTGTCTTCTAAGGAGTTGAGCCTTCCTGCAGGTTCCTCATCTAGAACGCCTAGGAGGTTCCAGGTCTTTCCAGGAGCTCTGCGTGTTTTCGGTGGTTCAGATCCTTCACCTGTGGAAGTGCAGCGTGCAGGACTGAGCATGATCAGCAAGGTCGAGGGCAGAGGTTGGGACCACGTGTGGGAAGTGCAGCTGTGGTTAGTGAGGTGATGTTCAGAGTGTCTTTAAAAGGAGCTCTGCATTTAAGACATGAAGACGAAGTGATGGGACAGTGGCCGCGTTTAGAGGCCATGTACCGACTCGGCTGCCACCAGGGCCTCCTCTCCCTTGTCAGTGCTCCTTGCCAAGCCAGGGACTGGCGGTTCTGGCACGCTAGCCCATCAGGAATGCCGCTCTGGTGATTGTCCTGCAATCTCGATTAGCCCTCAGAGGGGCATTTCACATTCTAGGATACTAGGTCTCTAAAAAATGATGTGTAATTGCTTTGAGTATGTTTTCTAAATCCCCAATGGGATGCAAGATGAAATACTTAAGATGAAAACAGGAGTTCTGAGAAGTGACAGGTTTAGGTTTTTGGTGTCTCCTGATGCTGCTATCCCAGGGCAGCCCGTCTGCGCTGCACTCCAGGCCTCCTGTGGGAGGCGGGCGGGTGGGGGGGGGGGGCTGCGCCTGATGGACCCAGAGCTCTGGGAAGACACTGCATTATTGGGAAGTTGATAGAACGAAATTATATTTTAATTTCAGGTTGTAAGACCTCCCCCCAAACCGAAGCAGAACGAAGTAACGAACATCCAGCCTTCTTCCAAGAGAGCCAGGTACGCTCACACCTCCCCCAGCCCATCGCAGATCAGTCTGTTGCCGTCACCAGTTTCTTTTCCCTGCGCCTCAGTGCTCCCTCCTTCCCGCACATAAACTTAAACTTGTTACCTAGACTGTCTCTGTTAAGTGTGAGCTAAAAAGAGGACTTGGGAAATCTCAGGCAATAAAAGGCTGAGGTCACTGTAAAGGGCAGGCCTCTTTGTGGCTGCCTCCCGGGAGGTGGGTGGGACTAGCGATGGGACCAGCTGGGAGGGAGGGCCGGGAGGCGGGGGGTTTGAGCCTGAGCCGTGGGGCCTGCGTGCTGGGAAAGGACCGTCCCTGACGGCTTTCCTTGAGGAGAAGCACACTCACAGCGGTCCCTCATCTTTAACGACCTTTCTTTCTGCTTCGTGTTTGTAGGATTGAGGACATACCACCTCCCACTAAAAAGCTAGCGCCCGAGCTGGCGCCTTCCGTGCTGTTCACGGGGTTCGAGCCTGTGCAGGTGCAGCAGTACGTCAAGGTGAGCCGCCTGCGCACAGGGCTGCACGGGGCCCTTCCTGTCTGCCATGGGCGCTCACCTCCGCTCTGTGGGGAGGTGGGTTCAGGTGACCGACCGCAGCCATGCGTAGGGCCTCGCTGCCAGGGGTCACCCGGCCCCCGTGCCAGGGACGTCCTTCCCTCCGGGCCTCTGCACGGGACCTCCATCTGCTCGGGTAGTTCCTGGCTGGAGGCCACACGGGCCTGTGTGTTTACAAAAATGTCAAATACACTTTTGAAATAGCCAAGGGCCGTGGCACTGGCTCTCCGGGCTGGTGGCGGACTGGCTAGAGTCTAAGGGGCCTGTGTCGTGATGTGTTCAGTTATTTCACTTGTCTTATTATTATTTTTTTTTTTTAAGGAAAAGAAGCAACTATAAATGCTGTTAAAATGTATAATTTTATCTTTTTTCCTTGGTCCAGTTATTGAGACCATTTTTCATGTTTGTGTCTTGTCGGTTTTCATGTCATCACTTTTAACATAGAGATGGTAGCTTACCTGTACCTCCTGGCCACGCGGTTGAGGGTAGGCAGTCTAGGCATTCACGAGAGAGCCTCATTCATGTCCACAGGGCCGTGTGGTTGGGTCCTGGTGTGTGTGTAACCACAGAATGCCCAGGGGCTCCACCTCGCACTTCCACGGGCTGGGAGCTCCTCTCCTCTCCACAGGCTGGGGCCGTCCTCCCCTCTCTTCCCCTCTCTCCTCTCCTCTCCCACAGGCTGGGGGCGTCCTCCCCTCTCCTCTCCTCTCCCATAGGCTGGGGGCTGGGGGCTGTCCTCCCCTCTCCTCTCCCACAGGCTGGGGGCCGTCCTCCCCTCTCCTCTCCCACGGGCTGGGGGCTAGGGCTGCCCTCTCGCAGGCTGCAGGCTGCAGGCAGCGGGGAGGGAGGGGTGCTGCGGGCTGGGTGTGTGTGTCTGAGCGCTGTACCCTAGGTCTTGTCCTGATGCGTTGCTCTGGGCCACGTGACGCAGCTCCGGCTCTCCCGTCTGTCTGCCTTCAGAAGCTCTACATTCTCGGGGGCGACATTGCGGAGTCTGCGCACAAGTGCACGCACCTGATCGCCAGCAAGGTGACGCGCACGGTCAAGTTCCTGACGGCTGTGTCCGTGGTGAGGCACATCGTGACACCCGAGTGGCTGGACGAAAGCCTGAAGTGCCAGAAGTTCATCGGTGAGCACCACCGCACCTCGGCCTTAGGGTGTTTCTCCCAATTAAAACAAGCTCTCCCCTTTCCACCTCAGGGTCCGCGTCCCAGCTCACACGCACTCCTCGGAGGCGGCTCTCCAGCCTGGGCGGGGCTCAGCGTCCTGTGGGCCTGGAATGGACACTTCAGTGCTTCACTTGGGGCCTCCCAGCTCCTGGGCTCGGGCAGGCCCGGCAGGCCTCTGTTCCCGTTTACATCATCCTTTTACTGCCTCCTTCCTGGGACACTGTCTTCCAGCTTGCCTGTCTGCCATTGGCTGCCGGGTTGATTCTGAGCAGTTGATAAACTTTGTGATTCGGTGGCTCTTGCCACGGGCAAGCAAACTGGTTAAGAGTGGTTGTCGTGTTTTTAAAGCGTTGTTTTAAGAGCAATATTTAACCGTGAGCTGCAGGAGCTTGTAAAACATGCCATACTCAACTAGTCAGGGCTCCTGACCTCTTTTCCCTTAGATTGTCAGATAAAAAAATGACAACCACTAACACAACAGTAGTGTCGATGTGAATCCCTGTTTTACACCATAAATATATAGGCCATATAATAGAGAAACATCTTACTGGTCACCTCACATAAGGTTGTGTCTGATTGGTTAATACAGAATTCTTACATACAAGTATAAGCACCTGATTTTGTAAAAAGTCACTTTGGCCCTGGCTGGGTTGCTCAATTGGTTGGAGCGTCCTCCTATACACCAAACGGTCTTGGGTTTGATTCCTGGTCAGGTCACATACCTAGGTTGCCATGTGTATAAGAGACAGCCAATCAGTGTTTCTCCCTTTCCTCTCTCTTAAAAAAAATAAAAACACCCTCAGGTGAGAACTAATAGACTAGCCTTTATAAGTTGCTGCGTGCTTCCATGTACTTAAAGGAAATGTGTTTTTGGTAAATCGATACCATTTGACTACTTGAGTCTAGTGTCCTCAGGTCACTGTGGCCACATCACGGCAGGGACGGGCTGGGTTTGCAGGGCGGGGCCGTGGTGGGGGCGGGCTCCCCCCCCCCCTCTCAGGCCCAGTAAGCTCCGGCCTGGGAGAGGAGCCTCATCTGAGGGGGTGGGGTGGCCGTGGTGGGGGCGGGCTCTCCCCCCAGCCTCAGGCCCAGTAAGCTCCGGTCCGGGAGAGGGGCCTCTGCTGTGGCCTGCGGGTGGACGCGCTCGGCCCTGTTTTCCAGACGAGCAGAGCTACCTGCTGCGGGACGCCGAGGCCGAGGTGCTCTTCTCCTTCAGCCTGGAGGAGTCCTTAAAGAGGGCGCACGTGTCTCCGCTCTTCAAGGTGACGTGGCGGGGGAAGCCCCGTCTGTGCAGACGGAGGCCTCGGGGAGGCCCGCGCCCTGTGGCTGGGCCCCCTGGCTGCTGTCCTGGCTCTCGGCATGTGCCACGCGGAAGGAGCAGACCTGCCGAGACGGCCTCCTCACTGCTGGTTCAGAGGGCGTTCTTGCGTAGCCCAGCTGGCACGAGGCATTTCCGTCGGCTTTTCTGCTTGCACAGTGGTTAATGCCATCCCATCGAATGTGTTGGAGAAGGGGGCGTCTTGTGACAATATTAACTGACTGCCCCTAAGTAATCCGGGCTGACGGTTTCTAAATATTTGTTAAATAGGGTGTTGGGATATTTTGGAGTTAGAGTGGCTAAGTGAATTAATGAGGATCGTTTGATTTTTATATTTGTCAAGGAGCCAGCTGGGAAATCGCAATGACTGGCATAGTGAGTTAAGATGCGTCTCACTTAAAATAGTCCGGTTTTTCTAAAGGCTCAGCTTATTTTCCCACCAGTTCTTTACAACAGACGGATGTGCTGGTGTGCGCTGAGGAGCAGGTGCTAGGGAGTGAGCTACACCGCCCGGCACTTCCTGCGTGTTTGGGGTCCATGTGGCGTGTCGCTGATGTCCTGATTGACAGGCAATTGTGGATAATACGATGCTGACTAGAAAGTTACAGAAATTGGGAAAATGTTATTCTCACTTGGGCCCCAAAGGACATCGTGTCTTAGGGCCGTGAGTTCTGGTTACTTCTGTGATGAAAGGTCAGACCCGACCTGAACGTGCTTGGGCTCCCAGCGGCTGGGCTCTGCCAGGCCATGGGGTGGGGGGTGAGAAGCGGCGGCTGGAAAGTCAGGCGTGGGAAAAATGTCATGCCGTGTTTTCACTTTTAGGCAAAATACTTTTACATCACTCCCGGCATCTGCCCCAGCCTGTCGACGATGAAAGCGATTGTGGAGTGTGCGGGAGGAAAGGTGCTGTCCAGGCCCCCGTCCTTCCGGAAGCTCCTGGAACACAAGCAGAATAAGGTGGGCCCCGCGGAGCCGCCGCCCGCGCCCTGCACTCCCTCCCGTCCCCCGTGCAGGCTCCCACTCTCCCTTTTCTCCGCAGAGCCTGTCCGAGATCGTCCTCATCTCCTGCGAGAACGACCTGCACCTGTGCCGGGAGTACTTTGCCCGCGGCCTCGGTACGCGCTGCGCCCGAGGGTGCTGGGTGGGGCCCGCCCCCCACCCCCGCCCCCCCTCACTGCGCCGTTTGCTGCTTTCAGATGTTCACAACGCGGAGTTCGTGCTCACGGGGGTGCTCACGCAGACGCTGGACTACGAGTCATATCCTTTGTGAGGCCGAGCAGAGCCCCGAGCTGCTCAGTGGGTTCGGTCCAAGCGATAGGGGGTGGCCCAAGGGGGGGAGTAGGGGGGCAGGGACGAGATGCCAGCGATCTGGCAGAGTGCGTCCTGTTTTCAGCGTGCGCATTGGTGCCAGACTCCTCCTCTCACACCCATGTTGGTGAGCCTGTTGTGCTGCCTTCACTTTCAGAAGGAAGACATGCCCGAAAAGTGGTGTGTGTGTGTGTGTGTGTGTGTGTGTGCGCGCGCGTGCGCGTGTGTGTTGGAGGGGAGGGGTTTGACCAGTGACTCAGTGGTTAGAGTGCCAGCCCACGCACCAAAGGGTCTTAGGTTCAATTCCCGGTCAAGGACTTGTACCTGGGATGCAAGTTGGATCCCTGGCCTGGTCTGGGTGCGTGCAGGAGGCATCCTGCTGATGTGTCTCGCATCAGTCTTTCTCTCCCGCTCCCTCCCCCTCCCCTCTCTCTCTAAGAAATGGTCAATGGAGAAAATGCCCTCAGGTGAGGATTAACACAACTGAGTGACTGGGGGTTTGGTGGTATCATCTCGGGCCTTTTATCCCGTGGCCCGAACGCAGCCTACGGCACTGCCCGTGGGGAGCAGGTGTGGGCCGTGCTCGGTCAGCTGTGTAGCCTCACGGGTCCCCATGGGGCCGCTGGCAGGCTGGCGCACGTGGCAGGTGAGCCTGGTGTGGGCTCCCTTCCCTGAGGGGCCGAGCTGCGGTGAAATGGGAGGTGCCCGCAGCGAGCCAGGCAGGCCCTGTCTGAAGCGGTTTTCCTCAGCAGCCCACATACAGGTTCCACTGACGCTCTGCCGCGGCCGGGGCAGAGCCAGGGTCCTGTGGCCCGGTCCTGCTGGCCGCGCCCCCTCCGCCCGCCCGCCCTCCCGAGCTGTCGTTTTCCAGCTGCTGCCGCAGGACCAGCTTAAAGCAGGAGAACAGTCATTATGTGCATCTGTGAAGATGTGTGATTTTACTGAGGAACATAAATTATGTTTTGTATGAAATGATTTTAAGAGCCCAAGGTCGTATGATTGACCTTTGTCAGGTTTTTAAACGTTTCGCACTGATGGAGCCTGAGCTGCAGGCCACGGGCTGTAAATAGGACCTGCTGTCTAAATTATGGATTTAAGATGCAAAGTGTTTTGTACTTGGATTGTTTTTACTCCTTACCTGCTGTCCTTTTCTACTGAATTCTGCCCACATTTTAAATAAATGTACTTTTGATCTTTACTTAGAACTTAGTGGTCCTTTGTGATTCCATCTTTCTTGCATAACGTGTGTGATTTCCATGAACCTGGACCAATTTTAACCTCAAGGCGCAGTATTTTCTAGTTAAGTTTCCTCCTGGGGACTGTTTCTGGAAGGGACAGTCACAGAAATGGGCAGTCAGTGTCCCTGGCCCCGCCCACTCTCCATGGCCCTGCGCCCTGCGTGTCTGCTCGGGTCTGGGCACAGACAGCGGAGGCAGTGCCCAGGCCAGCCCTGCGCTGAGCGCCCCGAGGGGAAGCGGGGAGGCCTGCGTGCCGGCGCCGGCTGTTTAAGGTCCAGCTCGTCAGGACCCAGTGGCTCTCGCCGCGTGGTCACCGGTGCCTGAAACCATGAATTTGCTTTAAGTTTCTGAAGCGTCTGCTTCGCATGTTGGGATGTGCCATCTGCTCAGGAGTCGACGTTTATTGCACAGTCCCCACGACTTCATTCTTGAACAAAACGGGGGGCGGGGGGGGGGCACGTTTCTAGAAATTGTTACAGAACAAGCCCCGCACTGGGGAGTTGTCAGTGTCCCTGTGGGGCGGGCGTCAGGCGCAGGTGGGACCTTGTTTCTTAGTTCAGGCGTCCCCAACGCTGAGGGCGGGCCATGTGAAGTCACTTCCGCCACATGTTCTGTTTGAAAAGGAGGGACCCCTCGCCCTGGCTGGTTTGGCTCAGTGGACAGAGCATTGGCCCAAAGACTAAAGGGCACAACCTGTCAAGGGCACAACCTCAGGCTCAATCCCCAGCCCTGGTCCCAGTGCATGCGGGAGGCAACAGATTAATGTGTCTCCCTCACACCGATGTTTCTGTCTCTCCCCCTCCCTTCCACTCTAAAATCAGTGGAAAATGTCCTTGGGTGAGGACCGCCCCCACCAAGGAGGACGCAGAGCTGGCGTGTCCGGCGCCTGGGGTTTGGGCTGGCAGGGGCCTGGAGCGTGCGGAGCTGCTGTCCTGTGCTTTGTTCTCTGAGGTGTGGGACGAGGGGCAGCTGTTTGCAGCCCCAGGCGGGGGGCCGGGAAGGGGGACAGTGGGTGTTAGAAGCGGGTCCTGGGATTCAGGACACAGAGGGGAGGCGACAGGGTCTCAGCTAAGTGGAGAGTGGGGAAGCGTGGGTGAGAATGGATTCTCAGAAGCTGGAGCTGGAGGGGTGTGAGGCGGCCGCAGCAAGGACCAGAGCGCCTGTGGGACCGCACAGACAACCAAGCGCAGACCCACGCCTGGCTGGTGCTGGCCTGCACCGTGGCCTCTCCTGGGGCCTGTGCGGTCACACGGACATCCTCCTGGAGGCTGGAAACTAGCCAGAGAAGGGATGCCAGTAGGCTAGTCAGCTGGCACCTTTACACATCACGCACACACATGCACACACACACCCATTCACACACACACACACACACATTCACATGCACACTCGCACACACGCACAAGCTGTTTCCCCCAAGCGTATGTGTGGGCTTCGGAAGCCACTGTTGTGTATAAAAAGCGGATGGCTCTCCGGGTCTGCCCCACAGCGGCAGCGCTCAGGTGACCAGATCGCACTGTCCCTCCCCCGCAGAATTGCTCACATCTCCCTCTGCAAAATCGGAAGGCAGCTATCTTGGGAATCCTGGCCTATGCTGCCACCTGCTGGTCGTCGGCTTGGGGGGGGAGTGGGGGAGGGGGAAGGGGGGCACCCTCTCCCGGGCCCAGCTGTCTCTGATTGTCTTCATGCTGTGGTGGGTGGGCCTTAGCAGCATCCACACTGACATTCGCTGGGAGCAAGGTCTCATGGTCCCGAGGACGACAGTGACACCGCTTCGAGTCTGCATCTGATTTGGGATGAGAGAGAGAGAGGGGGGGGGGAGGGAAGGAGAGAAGAAGAGAAGAGGGGAGAGAGAGAGAGAGAGAGAGGAGGGAAGGGGAGAGGAGGGGAGGGGAAGGGAGGAGAGAAGAAGAGAAGAGAGGGGGAGGAAGAGAGGAAAGGAGAGAGAAGAGAGAAGAGAAGAGAAAGAGGGAGAGAGAGAGGGAGAGAGAGAGAGAGGGGGGGAGAGAGAAGAGGAGAGGAAAGGAGAGAGAAGAGAACTCTAGGAGGGCGGGCTGGGGCAGGAAGGTCACAGCTCCCCGCGGTGCCGTCCTTCCCAGGGCTCAGGAAGTGACAGGCCTGGGTGGCACTGCCCGCCATGACCTGCTGGGTAGGAGTCTGGGAACAGGTCACCTGGAAATGATCCCCCTTTTCCATCCACAAGCTCAGCCCAGGAGGTGGCTACTGCTTGGGACAGAAAGCTGGATGGCACCGAGCCTCCTGCCTCCTGTCCTCAGTCCTGTGCCCCTCTGCCCGCCTGCCACGGCCCCTCTGAGCAGCTGTGCCTGCACCTCTCCTGCCCTTTTGTTGTGGGCAGACTGATGCAAGCAGAACCAGGGGGAGGAGGGGAGGGGAGGGGTAGCGGGGACAGAGGCCCCTGGGTGGGAAGCCCTGTGTCAATCCATGGTGGGTGGGCCTCGCCCGGGGACCGTCCCCCCAGCACATCGGGCCATGGGTTTGGACCTCTGACCTTCCCCCCCAGAGGCTACATCGAGGCCTCAGTTGTATTTCAGCCACACAGCCAGCCCAGGGCCATGGCTGCCTCAGGGCCCCATGGCTACCAGACAGTGACCTGCCCTGGCGCCGCCATCGGTCAGCGCTGACCCGACCTGGAAGCTGTGAGCTCTTCCCCAGGACCCCCCCCCCCAAGTCTCCACCCCCAAGCCCTTAGGATGGAGCACAGTGTGCTCCCCAGCACGTCCCTGCCCCCCCCTGCCCCTTCCCGCCACGTTACCTTTCCCTCCCGCCCGCCCTCCCTCCCTCCCTCCCTCCCTCCCTCCCTCCCTCCCAGCTCCATGGCCCCTCCCTCCTCTGCCCCCACAGCTCCTTTCTCACTCGTTTCCTCCCGGAGCTGCTTCCACCCGAGCCTGACCCAGTGCGGCCTCACAGGCCTCTGGGCCCCGCGTCCTTTCCTCACCAGAGCCCGAGCCCCGGGGAGCTGAGCCAGGTTTGGTCTGAACCCCCTGGTCCCACACCTGGCACTGTCCCCGCCTATAGCTCCTGGCCCCTCCCGCGCTGGGCAGGGCTGTCCTCACCTCGGTCCAGACTCCCTCCCCTCCTCTCCCTGTAGGGCCTCCCACAATGGCCTCCGGGAGGCCTGGGCAGGGGCCTCACCCCCCCTCCCAGCACCCAGCACCTGCCTGGTTGGATTGCAGGCTGGACACTGAGCTTGCCCCCTGCTGCCCTCTGCTGGTGGCTGAGCGAGCAGCAAGGAGAAGCTCTGGGCTGAGGCTGGGCCTCCTGTCCGGCTCCATCTGCTCGGCACCCCCTGACCGACGGCTGGTCTCCGCGAAAGCTGGACTGGGCTGAGGCAGGCCACTGCGCATGCTCTGGACGGGCCATCACAGGCATCTGCTCTCCAGTGCGTGGCCGGTACCTGCCTGTCACTGCCGCCACTTTCCCTCCCAGGAGGTGGAGGAACTCCCCAAATGTCTCCAACCAAAGCGGGAGGCGGAGCCCGGGGGGGGGGGGGCTGGCCGCGCCTTCCGGCTGGACTTGCTGCCACCCAGTCCAGGCAGCGGCGCTGCGCCTGCCGGCTCTGGGCGTTGAAGTGAGCTGTCACCTCCTCAGAGCACGCGGCTACTCCCTGCTGTGCCCGCCCGCCGCCTGCTCCCCGCAGAGCTTCCCGTGGCCCTCCTCACTCCCAGCGCAGACAAAGCTGCAAACGTCTCCCAGCACCCGCCCT